TTATCTTGAATATCTAAAAGTTCTGTCTCGTAACTCTGAGGACTATTAAGTCTTCCATGCTGAAGAGAAAATAAGTAGAGTTTTAAGTAGTGGCTTTTAAGAGGCTTCATCCCAAACATTATGGAAATGTTATGGCTGCCCTGAGTGGGGTGACTGTTCAGCTTGATTGTATAATTGGATACAAACAGTGATGCTCACTTATATAAGTGTCTTAACCACTTACACAGCTTCAGTTGATACGTTCAGCAGAATCGGAATAGGCTAATTTCTTTTTGAATTCTTTATATGTATGCTTTCTCAGACTTTTATGCTAACACCTGCAAGCAACTATGGTCCATTCCTAACAGGTGATCATTCTAGAACTTTAAAGTTTTGTTGCACATCTCAACTCCCATTGTAGCGTATGCAACACCTAATTCCACGGAAAACACCAGAGTCTGAAATAGTGTTTATCAGATTTGCTTTGAATGCAAGGTTACACTGTGGAAAAGTACTCAGAGGGCTCCAAGCTTCTGGCGGGGCCAAGGGGAAGGAGGGCCATTCTTGGTGCTGTTTCTCTTACTGTCTTCTTAAAAAACACTCTAGGGTAGCAAAGTAATTGAATGTTAGCCCCTGAAGCTGAGCTTAATTAGCTGGAGATGAAGGATTATCTGGGCTTCATTCTTCTAGCCTGAGTTTAGCAGTGAATTTCCTAATCTGTTGGCGTCTGTAATTAAGGACACAATCCTCCTGAAGAAGCCGACTGCACTTGGCTTTGCTGGAGCTAGGAGAAACTAGCAAATTAGCCTGAAGTGATTGCTGGCAGCTGGGTCACTGCTACCATTTCTCCAATCTATGACCCTGGGATAGAACCTTTCTATTCTGAGTTTTGGGGTTTGTTTTGTTTTGTTTTGGTATGATGCCTTTCAGTAAGAATGTAATCTATAAAGTATTTTGTCTTTAAAGATCTTGAAGTAGAACTATCCAAGTCTTATCTATCAGTCTATCTGGACTTTTTTCGGTCTGGTTGTCTCCAACTTTATGAGCAAGAATTCATTCATTCAACAACACTCAACACTTAGCACCAACCATGAGCAAACCCTGCTCTTGGATGTGAAAATAAAGACAACATACTCAAATAAAGCAAGTAATACCACTGTAGTTTCATATACTATTTATTTATTAAGTTATTAATATGGACAGAATTATNGCAGAATTGTTCTTTAATCAGAACAACTGAAGGGTCACATATACTCTTTCTTTCTTCCTTCTGCCCTTCCTTATTTCTTTCTTTCCTTCTTTCCTTTCTTCCTTCCTTCTTTTTTTTTTTTTTTTTGAGACAGGGTTTTTCTGTGTAGCTTTGGAGCCTGTCCTGGAACTAGCTCTGTAGACCAGGCTGGCCTCGAACTCACAGAGATCCACCTGCCTCTGCCTCTCAAGTGCTGGGATTAAATGCATGTGCCACCATGGCCCAGCAACATAATATTTCTTACTTTCATTATGGGGAAGCAAATCATTTTCCCCTTGAAAATCTAGGTCAGTCACCCTTCCTAACACTGTTATTTCTTTCTTAGCCTGTTGGATTAAAGATCTCAGAATCTCCAAGTGGGGGAAGTCTGAACTTCCAGTCCAATGGAATGGTTGTTGTATCTCCTGGTAGGAGCATTTCTCACTCTGGAACCCAGGCTTATAGGCCGGTAGAATTTAAGGTCATGGGAAGAGAAAGTAAAAAGTCTCCTAGTGGATTGCTAGTTACATTTCCATTTCTACCCCTTGATTCCTGAACTCATGAATCAGGCAGTAGGAAAAACTATTATACATTGGATGCTGATTTAAAGTATAAACCACCTTCTGGAGAATTCTTCCCCAGCCTTCCAGGGAACTGTCACCTAACCGGTGCTGTACCAATGTCTTCAAAAAGCCATTCCATGATTCTGTCAGGCCAACTGCTTCAGGATGCTGGGGAACATGGTAAGACCAATGAATTCCATGATAATTGGCCCATTGTCACATTTATTTGGCCATGAAGTGAGTTTTTTGATTGGAAGCAATACAGTGTGGAATACCATGATGGTGGGGAAAGCATTCTGTAAGTCCACAGATGGTGGTTTTGGCAGAAGCATCATGTGCAGGAAAGACAAATCCATTACCAGAATAAGTGTCTACTCCAGTAAGGACAAAGTGTTGTCCTTTCCATGGAGGAAGGGGTCCAGTGTAGTCAACCTGCCACCAATCACTGGCTAGTCACCCCAGGGAATTGTGCCATATCAGGGGCTCAGCTTCACACCTCATCTCTGCCCTCTAAATGGCTAATTTCGGGAATGAAAACTTGCCGATTTTTCCTCCATGGCATTCCATCTGCAGAAGCACTTTTCCTACAAAAGCTTTCTACCAGCTTTCTGCCGGAAGTTTCCTCCTGCGGATGACCATTTCATTACATTTGATGTTATGATTTCAACATTTTCATCTGTTTAATGCCATTTAGTGAATCATTATTAGAAAAGGAATTAAGAGTTACTCACTCATCTTGAAATGAAATGCTTTTATTTCATTTACTTAAAATATTGAATAAGACTTGAGGACATAGCTCATCAGTTAAAGTGCTTGCCAGACCAGTAATAGAATCAGAATTAGGACCTCCAGAACCCATGACGTATCTAAAAATAGCTTTGAAAGGTAGAGATGGGAACAAAATGACGAAGGGGACCAGCCATATCTGCAAGCTCTGAGTTTGATTAGGAGTGATGCTTAGACAAATATGGTGGAAGAGAAACTGATAAAGATTCCCAACATCAAACTTGGGTTCTCACACACATGTGCACATGAACACATGTACGTACACACATATACATGAAAACATTCTTCTTTCCATGTGTGTGTGTGTGCACATACACATATAAACACATACACACACACACACGGAAAGAAAAACTATTTCTCCTGCAATGTAAATTAATTCAACATTTATTTATAGTGAATAATGCTGCGAGATCATCACATTCTATTCTTTGTAGACATTTCTGGTAAATTAGTAGGGAATCCTAGAATATAAGTTGAAAGTTTCTTTTTAAAGGAATAACTAAGGTGTAGAACAGTGACTTTGCCTTCAAAAAATTAACTTACAACTGGGCGGTTTTGACATTAGTGAGCATGAGTATAATCATCTTAAGACAGAACAACTATTGACTTGGAAGTCTAGATTTGTTCCCTTTGAAGGATACATGGACAAATGCATACTCAATACTCATGATGGGCTTGTCTATGTTTCAAGGCTAGAATTCTGTCCATAAGGAGTTATGAAATGAGGAAAAGAAAAATAATAAACATGTGAAAAGATTTATTTGCTAGATATAAGGTGAAAGAAATTCAACTAGAGGGAACCAAATGCCAGTGGCTGTTTCAGGTAGAGGAGTCACCAGTCAGTGACTCTGAACCAGTGGTTCCCAATCTTCCCAATGCTACAACCCTTTAAAACAGTTCCTTATGCTGTGATTGATGACCCAGCTCTAAAATTATTTTTGTTGCTGTTTCATAACCATAATTTTGCTCCTGTGACGAATTGCAATGCAAATATGTGATGCGGAGGATATCTGATAGGAGAGCCCTGTGAAAGGCTTGCTCAACAACCCCCAAAAGGGTCGCAACGCACAGATTGAGAACTGTTGTTCTAGGCACCCTAGTGATAGACCCCTGTGACAAAGGACCTTTCTCTCCTTGATGCCACCTCACCTTACTGTGAAGTGAAGGAGGAAGCGAGTGCTGCCCTTCCAGTATACATAAAGAACTTAAAAGAACAGAGTCAGGAAACCAAGGTACCCAGTTAAAAACTGGAAGACCTAGAAAATATTCAAATGGATATGCAGGCAAACGATGAGTGGTGTACTATCATTGGGAGTGGGAGAAGAAAATATTTCCATATGAATACTACTGAATTGATAGTTTTAATTGGTTAAATAGCTTGTGATACATCCAAACACAAGCATGTTATACTTTGGTAAAATGAGTAATAAAGACCCATAAGAGAAGAAATAAAGAGATACCCAAGAAATAAGATACATAAGAAAAAAAATGAAATACTATAGTATGTGTGGTGTGATAATGGGAATGTGTATTCTCTGATTTGTTGAAAGTCCATCAGGCTGTTCTTGATGCACCAGGCAGTGTTTTAGATGCCATGTTATATTGGTGAGCAAAGCAAAATTGATTTTTTCATGAGCATCTGGGAATATTTATTTGCATGCATGTGGAAATTCCTAAAAAAATAATATTTAAGAAATAGTGGTAACCTTTTTAAACTATAAACAGAGAATTAGTGGGAATTTAGTAATTTCATTTCCATTATTGTGTAGGACAGACAAGATTTTTTGCTTTTAAAACTGAAGGCTTTTATTATGAAATATTTATTATAACCATAATATAAGAAACTTGGAATAAACCCCGCAACTTTCACTGTTCCCTGTTACCTCAGTCATCAGTTGAAAGTCTACTGTCTCTTATCATCTCTCTTCGAACATTAACATAAATAAGCTCATATATCCAATTTCAGGGTAATCTTTATTCAGTATTAGTAAAAATGCTAAAACCATCACCATTTGATGACTGAATAATATATTAAGCTTAAGAAGTTTTTTTGATTTGTCTTGTTTTTTTGTTTTTTTGTAACAGTCGTGGCTGTCCTGGAACTCGCTCTGTAGACCAGGTTGACTCCAACTGCCTCTGTCTCCTGAATGCTGGGGTTAAAGGCTTGTGCCACCACCACTTAGCTACAAGCTTTAACTTAGTTTTTATTGGCTTGTTTGTGAGACATAGTGTCATGTAGTCAAAGCTAAGCTTGAACTTTCATTGTAGTGAATTATAATTTCTTGTTGTCCACTGATAGCCAGAGAGGAGCGCAAGTATCTCTTTAGAGTATCTTCATTTTTCTTTTTTTCTTGTAGTTTCATATACTATTTATTTATTAAGTTATTAATATGGACAGAATTATACAACATTCGTCCACTTATTCAACTCAGGAGAAAGACATTAAAGAGCTCATTCCTACAATAAGTGTAGCACAAGCGCTCACAAATAGTTCCCTTATTTGAACATCACAGGGAATTGTCAGTCGGGTTTTTACTTACATTAAGTAAATCCTTCTTGAATTGAAAAGTGTGAAAACCAAAGTCTGATTTAGATAATGCAGAGATACATGTATCTCCTGTTGGGGAGAAAAGAGCTGGTCCCCTCTTCAGCAGCCCCTCTCTCTGCCTGCCCTCCAGTCCTGTGAAGGAGCCCACCCCCCCTTATATTATCCGCAGGAGTCAGACTTGGGTGAGAGAAGGCAGGTCACAGGGAGTCCCGATTAATTTATAAAGATTGTGTGTCAGAGCTCTAAAAACTCACTTGGTGGTGGTTAGTGGCAGTGACGAGCACACTACATTTTTGCCAAGAAGGTTCCTTACATCGAGTCCTGGCTTGCAGCCTGTGAGATTACTGTGGTTCTCAGTGGGAAAGTGGAAGTGAGGGACTCTAACAATGACCGCTAGGAGGCCATCTGCAGAATGTACCGGACTGGCTACTATGGCTTTTCAAACCGGCCTTCCTTCCTTTAGTATCGACACGTTTATATCTTCATGCTCCCTCTTATATCCACCTAGAATTAGCGCAATATTTAAAAGGAGTATGAAAGACGAAACCCCTTGCTTTCAGCCTGAAAGATGAAAAACGGGGGGGAAAGTCCGTTCCCCACCAAACAAGCTGTACTCAACTTTCCTTAGTTGAACAAATGGCTATTAAGTTTTAGAGACATGTGTTAGACAACGCTAGTTAACCGATGGAAGTTCTGGATGTAACTACACACAAACTGCATGTAAAACACAGGCGAGATCCAAAGGGGTCCAGGATGCCAGGGTTTCTCTAACCCCTTTGTTCCAATCACACTGAAAACCACGTTTCAGTGTTGGGCCTCTGTACCACTCTCAGTTAAAGATGGAACGAGAAGCCTAAGGAAGTCCTGCCACGTTGTTTGGCAAACCGCCTCTACAGTTCAGAAAAAGGAAAAACCACAGGGAAAGAGTGAGTACTGAATCTATCCAACTCCAGGCACAACGGGCCTGCCATTCCGAGGAGACTTAACGAACGAGCAGCTATACAGCCGTTTCGATCACTGTGCTTCCCGAGCACCAAAAAATATGGTGCTCCCATGACTGTTCGGGATCATCTTTCAATAAGCTGGACAGATCCTGCTGCATTCTTTGTTTCTAATTTACCAGTACACTGATATGTAGCTTACTGCATGTGAAGAGCAGGTCAGCATGTAGTACCACGTTTACATCTTCATAGGCCTACAACATGCACACTCTACTTAATGTAGCTCAAGCATCGGGGATACAGGGTAACAGTTACGGGTGGAGACTTGTTTGGACGGTCGTGTTCACATTAACTATGGGTGGAGAAATCTTATTAGGCAGGTAGGTACCTAGAGAGTTCTTCGGTTGGTACTGGAACATTACACGCATGCACAGGTGATGCAGTAGAGGATGGCGCTGAAGCGGCAGCTTGGATGGAGAACGGTGGGGTGGTCAGCTGGGGGGGGGATGCCTTGTGCCAGGAGGGGCCGGTCTCAGCTTTCCACTGTGAGTCTCTGCTCTGTAAGAGAGGCCTGTTGGGCGACACTTTTGTTCTCATGACTTCGAAGTTTGGATACAACATCTAGAAAGGCCAAATCCTGCACTTCCTTGTACAGGGATTCTGGAAGAGACAAGTCAGGCAGAGCTCACGTTTCTGCTTTATTGCACTACATAATCTACCCCAAACATACACCTGACGATTTGACCAGGCGGGGCGACAAAATGAGGAACAAGTCAAGAAAGAGCCCAACAGCGCCTAGTAAGGTCTTTTTGAGGCGCGCACTGCCATTTGTAAAGACTCACATTAGGTTCTGCAGTCTGAAGGTGTTCAGGGTAATAAGATGGAATTAAACACAGCTCATTATATAATCTCAACATTTAGTAACTTAAATCTGCAACTTAATCCCATCAGCAGTTCAAACAAAAAGCAAAATATTTAAAAACCTGTTAAATTTGTGATACGTGAAGTTTTTTACTTCATATACTTAGAATAAATTCTGCGAATCTCACCTCCTTTTTAAATTTTTTTCCCCCTAGCCTGCCTTTTCTGACCTTTTTGGCTCATTTACTGTTAACATAAGAAAGGACAAGAGTCCCAGTATAACTGAGAACCTGCTATTAGGAAAAATGGGGCCCTGAATATGATTAATATAATCAACACTCTGCAACTGGTGGTCTTTAAATTTTTAATTTTTTTTTAATATGCATTTAAACCACAAGCTTATACCACAGGGCAAGTATTGTGGTCTGAGGACAGTGTGGTAGTTGATACTTCTTCAACCATGTGGGTCCCAGAACTATGCTCACAGGCTTTAGTGGCAGGTACCTTTAACCATGGGGCCCATCTCCTTGGTTCCTGGTATATTAATGAGCACAGTGGGTTTCTCATTAGGATCTGGAAAGGAGTGCATCTTTCACGTATAGACAACGGACCAAGAATCTGCTGACTACAGAAATTTGTGTGTGTGAATGAAGGGGTTAATAAAACATTCTTAAATGAGCGAAAACTGAATTTGTTACAAGAAGATAACTTATAATGTCTGGGGTTAGTTATCTAAGTGAAAAAGGAGCAATTTTCCTTTATTACATTAAATATACGTGGTGTAAATAAAATAATTAAAAGCACTGGCAGAATGGATTATAAAGCGACGCAGATAAAAAAGACTAACAACCAGATACTTCAAACTTATCCATACTGTAGACCGAAACTAAGAGTAGAAGAAAAAAAAAAAAAAAGGAAAATGCTACTCAAAAGTAAGTGGGAGTAGCTATGTTAACGCCACATGAAGGAGACTTCAGAACAAGACCATTAGTAGAGACATTACATGGCCACTGATGAGCTACTCTACCAAGAAACTGCAGGATCCCTAAGGTCATGTATACCTACCGATATTGTTTACAGCATTCTAAGAAAAAACTGACAGTCAAATTTATATTATGGGGAAGAGGGCTTCCATACTCTTCTGTCAACTGACCACTCAGGAAATCAGCAAGAATACAGGAAATACCACCATACAGAATTTAACTGATATCTGTAAAACATTCCACTCAGTTACAGAGAATGAACATACATCCAAGTATCCATGGTACGTATACCGATATACACCAATGAGTTTAGTTACTACTATAACAATAAAACCAGAACTTGTTCTTTACATAAAAATCCATTTTGGCATTAATAAACACAAGTTGATTTTTGCTGTATTTTCTGTATCTTCTATTATAGAAGAATCCTTTGGGAACACTTTCAATTTAGAGGTAATCTTGGGAGTGGCTCAACTGCCAGAAGCACGTATGTATGCTCCTGTAGTGTGGTTCCCACTAGGGCAGCTCACAACTGCCTGTAATTACAGCTTCAGGAGATCTGACACCCTATTCTGCCCTGAGGGCAAGTTCCTGTAGTCTCTTTAAAAATTAATGTCTATTTTAAACACCGTCACCACTTACTATGACTACACATGTAATATTCGATGGAAGGCCATATCCTGGTATCAAGTGACAGAAGAAATACATACCAGATCCCATGAGAGCACAGATCAGGACCATGGAGTTATATTTGATCTCTGGAGCACTTCTCTCATCCGCTAGAAGTCGGTGGAGAATCTGTACAAGCTTAGCACTTTCAAGATCTTTCTCAGCAGGACCTACAATAGGAAACAATGTGTGTCATGGCCACTGTGGATGGCAGTAGTGTCAACAGGCTAAATATTGCGTCCCCTTCTACACACTACTTACAGAGAACTCCCAAAAGGGGAGCAGTGTGAATCCAGGATACAGGGAAGAAGAGAGCTGCTTAAACAAAACTAAAGTAAAAAATTTTAGCTTATTTTTTTCTATATTAAAAAACATTCATTGTTGCTTACTATCCTGTGCTGTGTTTTCACCAGAAAAATCAACATCAGAAAGGACAAGACAAAGCAGAAAAATAAGACAACAATACATTCAGACATACATAAAGAAAAAAGAAACGTGACAAAAAACTCCCAACAACTCTAGGATACATTCAAGAAATCAAACCTAAGAACCCACAGCAGGAGGAGCAGTCAGGCAATTTACCCAGTGAAACAACTTAACCAGAGAAGACCCTCTGCACAACACTCACAGGCAAGATGTCAAAAATATAAAGAAGCAACATTACCAAAATACTGTGTATTTCATTAGCATCCTTAAGAACCAGGCAAGCACAGAACAACACAGTTCAAGCCCTGAAAGTAAATGACTAACACCAAAATTACTATATCAAAAAAAAAAAAAAACTTTCTTAAAACTCATGGAGAAATAAGGACAGTTCAAGACAAACTCAGATGAAGGCAATTCATGCCAAGCAAGCCAGCACTGTACAAGAAGGGCTGATTAGTACGCAGCCTGTGTCCAACTGCACATACCCGGAGCAAGCAAGCCTGCTAATAAAGAAGCGGGAAGTAGACACCAACTGCACTATTTTAGGACGTGCCATGAGAAACTATCCACCCAGGGCTCCCTTCCCAGTAGCTCTCTTACCACCCAGAGGACTAATTCTAACCCCCACCAGCTTGCTTACAGCTGTTTGCTTTAATACATTTATGCATCCTTTGACTCTGTGTTTAAACATCTTACCTGTGTTCCTCGGCGACAATCGCTAGATCACCCTTTTTAATCCACTCAGTCTGCATCTTTTAATTGGCAGATTGAGGTCATTTGCATTTAAAGGTACCATTTAGAAGAGATTGCTATTTCCTGTGATAGTGTTAGGTGGTGTTCCAGCTGATTGGATTATCTTCCTTCTGTTGGTATTAACAATTTTCTGCGTTGGGTGTGATCACCCCCCCCCCCCCCCCCCCGTTTTGTCTCTGTTCATCTGTTCCTTTCATGGAATGTTTACTTTCCTGTATGTTCACAGTGATGCTGTCTTCTTTCTCTGCACATGCTCTTTTAAGAATCTTGTACAGTGCTGGCTTGCTTGGCATGAATTGCCTTCATCTGAGTTTGTCTTGAACTGTCCTTATTTCTCCATGAGTTTTAAGAAACAAATGCTTGCCTGGTTCTTAAGGATGCTAATGAAATAACACAGTATTTTGGTAATGTTGTTTCTTTATATTTTTGACATCTTGCCTGTGATGTGTCGTGCAGAGGGTCTTCTCTGGTTAAGTTGTTTCACTGGGTAAATTGCCTGACTGCTCCTCCTGCTGTGGGTTCTTAGGTTTGATTTCTTGAATGTATCCTAGAGTTGTTGGGAGTTTTTTGTCACGTTTCTTTTTTTTTTTTTTTAAATGTATGTCTGAACTGGGAGGCTACCTAGGAAAAGTTTACCCTCTCTGACAGAGATATTCAACCAAATAGAACCCCTCCTCCCCTGGAGAAATGTGGATTTCAGTCCTATCTCTCCCTCATAGGAGTCTGCTTTCTCTCTTGCTTTCACTTTAAATAAGCCCAACTCTCTTTCCTGCCTTTTACTCTTTTGACTGGCAGACAAAACAAACCCATCCATGCACTTTAGTTAAGTAGACTCAAGTTCCAAACTAGTCAGGAGGGAAAGTGGACTGCAGTTCATCAAGAAAGATATAATCTGGGAACCAAATTTTGGGGCTTCAAATCCCAACAAACGCACAAAGGCACAAGCAATTACACAGCTCCTGACACAGTCATATCAGGGAATTCCAACAGTCCATGTTCCTAGTAAGACAGCTCTGCCAAACCATCAAAGAAACTTCAAGCGAAATTACACAACAGACCAACTGGAGATTCCATCTAACCAATAAGGAATATGGAATCGTCTAAATATGATCATGTTATAGGTCACAAAACAAGTCTGAACAGAAGCTCCAAAAACAACAACAAAACAAAGTCTAAAATAATTCTATCTCAGCAGGTTACAGTAAGCAAAAGTAGAAATCAATAGCAAGAGAAACATGAGAAACTACAGAAATACTTGTATGCTAAAAAAATTTACACTACACTATTAAATGAACAGTAGTGATTGAAGAAAACAAGGAAAACATGAAATTCCTAAAAATCTTGTGAAAATAACAGTACTACCTCTTATCACAACATTTGGGATACAGTGAAGGTGTATTAAAAAGAAAAGGTTATAAATATAAACACGCTCATGCACATATGCACAATATTAGGATTTCACAGTTCTAGCAAACCAAAGTCACCAAACCCAACACACGAAGAGGTTTAATAAATACTAGGGAAGAAGCTAATGAAAAACACCAGAAGGAAAATGTACGCAATTAAAGAGCTGGCCCCCTAAGTAAAACAAACAATGCCCCCCAACACAAAATGTTCAGAAAGTCCTTAGCCAGACTAAAGGCAAAGACCCTGATAAATAGGACTGGTAATGAAAGGGGATGAAAGGGGGCTGTTATAATACAAGCCAACGAAACCCAAAAGACCACTGGGGAACTCTGAAAACTTAGACTCCAAAAGCTGAAAAACCTAGACAAAACAGATTGACTTCTAACCCATGTGACTTACTGAATGAAGCTGTTCAACCCATAACAAGTAATGAGATTGAAACAAGTAATAAAGAGACACACACAGGCTGGTTCACTGTTGAATTCTAATACAGGCTTCTTCTTCTTCTTTTTTTTTTCTGAGACAGGGTTTCTCTGCAGCTTTGGAGTCAGTCCTGGAACTACTCTTGTAGACCAGGCTGGTCTCGAACTCACAGAGATCCGCCTGCCTCTGCCTCCCAAGTGCTGGGATTAAAGGTGTGCACCACCACCGCCCGGCTCTACCAGGCTTCTAAGAAGACCTAACACCACTACTTCTCAGACTAGGATAGCCTTGATACCCAAACTAGATAAAAATGTAAGAAAAATACAGGCTAAATTTTCTGGTGAACACACAGCCAGAATGCCTCAACAAAGTGTTTGCACATCAAATCCTAGAATATTGTTAAGGTGGTTATGAACACATAGATAATTTGGTTTTGTTTCAGGGTTGCAAGGCTTGTTCTACATATGAAAACCAATAAATACAGCATAGAAAAGGTTTTCAGGACATCATGACAAAGGGCATCTGAGGCAGTTAAACATCCCTTCAGGTAAAAAGCACTAAAGAAACTAGAAACAGATAGACATACCTTACGTACTATAGACATGCTATAGGCCAAAAGCTAGAGGCATAGCTAAATTATATATTAACTTTGGAAAAGAGCAGAGCTTTCCCGCTAAAATCCAGAATATGATAAGCTCCAAGTCTTAGCTAGAACAGTAAGAGAAAGAGATAAAAGGTGACACAAAAAGGAAAGAAAGAAGTCAAATTATCCCTATTTGCAAAGAACATGATTCTACATTTAAAAGATCCTTTGGGCAGGGTGTGATGAAAAGCAGTTTTGGGTCTTAGCCAAAGTTATGTGGCTCTGATACACCATCCCTGGCTACAGTTATCAGAGTCTGGTTCTATTTGTCTCTTGGCTTCTTAAAGAGAATTCTGCCCACACGGATGCTTATATACTTACGCAGCCACCAACAAGCACAAACAGAAGCTAACAGTTTAATTTTGCTTTGTGGGAAATATTGAACGCAGACATACAAAAGACAGAGGTGAAAGTTTAGATGAAGGAAGTACTATAAAGTAATAGAAAAACATGTACAGAGGTTATTAAAGGGGAGAATCAGTAGAAACAGAGGGCACAGAAAGTCTGGATCAATAAGACCACCCCTTCTCCCCCTCTCTCCTCTCTTTCCCTCCCTTCCTTTTTCTTTGAGACAAGGCCTCAAATTGTAGGGTGCAAAGGGCTAAGGGAAAACACCCTGCCCAACTGGACCCAGGGCCATGGCTTGAAATCCCACCAATCCCTGAGCTTGCCCCAGAGTGAGGTTGCAGAATCCCATCAATCCCTGAGATCCCTGAGCATGAATACTATCAATCCTGAAGCTTGCTATCAGGCTCCAAAACTCCAGCAATCCCAAGCCATCCTCCCCACAAGAAACCCTATGTAAACTCTGTACCCTGTTAAGTTTGCTGTTGCTTCCTATCCTAGTAGAGGAAGCCACCCTCTTGGATTTTTCCTCCCAATTTGTTGTGAGGTGTGACAGTCTACTAGAACCCAGCTATAACAACTCAAGAGTCGGATTGCAGCAGAGCTGTAACACTTTTGTAACACTATCCCCTAGCAGAGCAGAGTTGTTACATTCCACGGGATCTGAACAGAGCTGTAACAACTTTGCTGGGGGACATCCGCCCCCCCCCCCCACTGGGCACATTGTTACACTTGCATTGGGAAACCTTCTCCCTGGAGCAGAGCTGTAAACTGCTATGTTTACGATGATTTTGTGGAGTTCCTTGGCTAGGATACCTTTCCATCCAAGCTGCAATGCTTACATAAACAAGGTGGGCCTTAAACTCACTATGTAGCAAAGCTGATGTTGAACTTCTGATCTTCCTAATACCTTGGGAATGTTGGGACTTATAGACAGGTACCACCAGGCACATGGGGACTGAACTGGGGACATTGTTCATGCTAGGCAAGTACTCTGTCAACTGAGCTTTATATAGCTTTATACCTTTCACATTCTTCTTCCTGTGATATTCCAGGTTTCATTTCAATTATTATAAAGCCCACTGAAAATGTTTTATGTATCTTCTAAGTAAAATATGACTTAAAACTTAAGCCCTAAAGTGCTGATCTAAAAATGTTACACAAAGCATAGCCACAGGAAACACCTGTGACAGCAACTTACATATGATTTCCATATATTCAGATTTAAGTACACACTAGCAAAATACTTCTACAGCCAAGGTTCTATTTGATTTCAATTCCACTCCTGTGCTTCCTTTCATCCAAGATAAAAATAGTAAAAAAATAAGTTTGTCAGTGAGGTACTTACCCAATTCCAAAGCTGCTATTAGTGCCAAAGCAACAAGAGCTTCATTCTGCATTATTACATGTTCACTAGTTGCCATGGTAACTAGATGCTTGATGCCACCACTCTGTACAATGGTTTTAATTACATCCTACAATAAATAAATATCATAGAATTATAAACTTTAATTCTACACATAAAGAGATGGCATTACAATCAAGCCAGTTCATTGTTGAGTGGTTACCTAACAGTGTCCTGTATGAATCACTACATTTTAACCATACCTTTTTTTTTCTTCACAGAAAAGGAAAAGCTTTTAGCTTTAAATAAATTCATCAAAAATGACAACTTAAATTGCCTAAGTGAAAAAGACCATTGCATTTCTTATCAAGGAACAGAAAGGCCTAGAAGCTACAGAAACTAAAATAAAAGTGCCATTTCCCCAAATGTATGTGTATCAGGATCAACAGAAAAAGAACTAAAATTTGGAATTAAAAAAAGCTTTGCTTTAAAAATGTTTATGATAAGGCCAGGCAGATATTCTCTAGATACTCTGGATAAGGGTATTTTTTTTTAATAAAAAAAAACATTGTAAAATTATCTTTTACCCTTTTGTTTGATTTGAAAAATTTGAGAACAGTAAATGTCAAAAGACTGAGAGCAGGAGAAATAGCTTTCCCCAGAGAAGAGCACACCACAAACACACACACATATTAGTGAGAAATGAGGACACGAATTTGAGGGATGGCGGGTACAGGGGCGGGTCTGGAGGGAAGAAAGGGAATGGAGAGAATGTACTTGCAAAAAAAATAGCACATGAACACACAAAAACACATACAAAACAACAAAACAAACACATAGAATTTCAGCCACAATTATTCTGGTTCCCCTTTCTCAAACTCTAAGGGAGATGGGGCAGGGAGCTCTGGACTGCCAACACTGACTTTGACAAAGCAAACTACTGAGCCCGTCTTTGTCAGACGATTTCATCTGTGACATGATTTGTCTTTCACATGTTTCTGTAGCAACTATAAAGTTATATTAAAAAGGACATAAGAACACGGCAAAAAGTCAGGTGCAGTCAGTAGTCATATTTTTTTCTTAGCAACTATTTTGTCTTTATTGTGCAACAAATTTTGTTTTTTTATAACTCTTATGCTAACTGATTTTGTAGGAAATCACAATTTCAGAATAATTTACTTTCTGTTGGTTTCAATGATGGACAAATCTAATTGTGACTACTTTTCTAATTCTCTAAATTATTTAAAATACAGTTTCTTTTGTTTCTATCTTACATATAATTTAAAACAGCTATTAGCAGAAATATCACGGCTCTGAACCCTGTGATAACATTCCACAGTAGGGTCACCTAAGAATTGCATTTTTATGGGCAGCTGTGCTCTAGCAGCTATTAAGTCTTTCCCTTTAACTTCTTTTAAAATTGTATTTATTGTTTATTGTGTCTGTGTACGTCATGCCAAGTGTGCTTAGAGAGGTCTCAGAGAACACCTCTTGGGAGCCTTAGATCAAACTCGTGAAATCAGGCCCACCCATAAGACCCACTTCCCACTAAGCCGCCTCACCTGCCCCAGAGAATCAATCGATACTTAAAGCATTTTCTAACTTTCTCATTATTGCCTACTTGGTATAAAGTCCTTCACTGGAACTTTCATAGATTCCTGAGGAAAGACCAGAAAACATGAATACAAGCATGCAGTTCCCTGAGGAAGGCCTCTGGACTGTCATTTAGTCTTTTTCTTCTTTAAATGCTTAATCTTAAGACAGAATTCAGGACAGCTCTGAAAGGAATATAACGTTCCACATGTATGACCACACAGGTCAGCGCAAACACGCATGTACTCTGCTCTGTGCGGGGCTGAGCAGGGTATAGCATTAGTGGACAATGATCAATATGTTCAAAGCATAAAACTTCACCTTCAACTAGACAAGACAAATTTGAAAACAGAATAATGCTGATCAACCTGAGAATCTATGAAATCCTCAGAATTTCATGGCTTCCTCCTAATCATCTTCTTGGTCAGAGATGTCTTGATTATTCCTGGGCCATATTTATGAGTGATTCCCTGAGGGGACCCCACCTAGAAAGGCCATGGGGTCACTGGCTATAGATAACTCTTTGTCTCTGTCTGTAATTTCTTTCATGAGCCACTTCATTCTTCTCTAAAAATAGCTTTTGGTGTATTTCCACTGCCTGTGTGTTTATCTCATGAAAATATTTCATCTATTGAACACACACATAGCTGTGGGTGGTCAGGAAGATGATTTCTGCTTAAGTGTATAATTCTGATGAACAGAAATAATACTAGGATATTTTATATTACTCAGACATAGGACTCTCAGTCATGAAGATAGCTTTTTACATAGACAGCTAATTTTAGACTCCATGAATTCAAAGCAGGCTGGTTGCCCCTAGAGATGAATATCTGGTTTCCCCTAGACATAAATATGTGAAGCCATTTCCCCAGGTGTTTTGCTGATTCAAGGTCAGAGCTTGAAGCATTAGTAGAAAGCTCCCTGCGGCAATGGCTTTTCTGCACATACTCCCTAGCACCCAAGGTCCAGCTAATTAATTGTTATTATTAAGTCTTGAATTTCAATGTTATTTTCTGATGGTAACCCTAACCATTTAGGCTATGTGCATGGCCCAAGTGTTACTGACTGGCCCAATCAATGTGACATCTCTAACCTGAAAGAAACCACGTGACTTATCTTGGCTTATGAGAATGGGAGGGGCCCTGAAAATGTAACGTGTAATTGTCCACTGAGGAGCGGCAGTAGTGTAGAGAGAGACAGCTGTGTAGAGTTAGGGAAGAGCTATGCAGAGAGTGAGTACCTGTACGTGTGTGTGTGTACATATGTGTATGTGTGGTGAGGAAGGATAGAGCTGAGTGGGTAGAGAGAAGGCTTGAGAGATGAAGAAGAGTGAGAGAAGTGTAAGAGTGAGTACAGAGTGAGTGAATGGTGTACAAGAAGGATGTGTGTGTGAGAGAGAGAGACAGCTGTGTGAAGGAGCTGCTGCTGCAGAGAAGCTGCTGCAGTGGTGTGGGACAGCAGACATAGGTTGGAGAGAGAGAGATGTGCAGAGTTAATTAGGGAGAAGCTGCTGAGCAGAGGAAGGAGAAGGGACGTGAAACTAAGAAGCTGTGAAGAGAGATTTTTCAGAGAGGATATTTTCAAGATGAAGTAAAGACAAAGTTATCACCAGAAAGCATGTGTGTCTCCTTATTTTGCCCCTCAGATAGAAAAGACAGAGAGGGTGTGCTGAAAATTTTCTGAGAATATCCATGCCCAGTATGATTCCCTCAGAAAATTTTCTGAATATTTTGGAATGTTTTGGTTTAGTGATGGGACATTCTGGGAGTTTCTTAGAACTGGATGTTTCTTTAATTTTTATTTTTAGATGTGTGTGCATGTGTGTGTTTGTGTATGATATGTGTACAGGTGCCCACTGAGGTCAGAAGAAGGTGTTAGAACACCCAGCAGCTAGAGCAGCAGCAGGTTTCGAGCCACCTGCACAGATGCTGGGAACCAACCTCAGGTCTTCTGGGACAGCAGCAAGGGCTCTTAACCACTGTTCTCACTGGGCAAAGAAAGACTCTAAAAAGTGTGGGCAAACGGCCGGGCGGATCTCTGTGAGTTCGAGACCAGCCTGGTCTACACAAGAGCTAGTTCCAGGACAGGCTCCAAAACCATAGAGAAACCCTGTCTCGAAAAACCAAAAAAAAAAAAAAAAAAAAGTGTGGGCAAATGGGTTAGAATATAGAAGCGAGGGAGCCTGAGCTGTTCTTCTGTGTGTTGTTTGGATGACTGGCAGGCCCTATCAGGTACCAAGCCTCAAGCTAACTTAAAAACTGCCTGCTTCTGTATCCCTAGCAGAGAGGCCAGGCAATCCTACTGCCTATGCCTTGCCAAGTCCTGTTTCCCATCTTCACTGTTACCACCCACCTGGACCGTGAGGTGAAAAAACTCCTGTTGGAACAATGAAATGAGTGCCTCAAAGTGATAATTAGCAGTTTCAAAGCTCAGCCACAAATGGCATCCTCTCTTATGCACCTTTTGCTTTAAATTCAACATTTTTCCTGCTCTCATTAAAAACTAAAGTGATTTTTATAAATAGACATGAAATAATGAAACTTTGCTGGCTAAAATCCTTCAGGAAGTCTATACTTCTGGGTGTGGTGTCACAGGCTTCAAATCCCAGCCTTTCAAGGCCAATCTGGGCAAGACAATGAAACTCTGTCTAAAAGACTAGAGATGTAGCTCGGTGGTAGAATATGTCCTAGTGTATTCAGGCCTGATTTAATCCAGTAGTACTGGAGGGAAGGGGGTGGCAGACTTACTTTTCTGGAGAATACAACCCACATACTCGGCATATAATTCATCTTAATTCTAATACACTGTCTACTCTCTCCAACAGATCTGCAATTGCTGTTTTCATTTAAAATCATACCTTCTGACATCTGGGTGTACATATATACATGCCTTTGCTGACAAAGCCCTTCTCCACTTTCTCCCTCAGCTCCTACTACCAAAGCCTTTCCTTTTAGTATGGTGTAATGAAATTAAATAAAAGCCTCAATCTTTACTTCCTGCAGGGAATGGGGATTAGCATATTTATAGAAAATACATGAATATGTAAGTACACGGTGCAAAATCTACAGTGCTGGCTTCCACAAGGACCACGCTAATGCTTGACAGTGTATGGCTTCCTCCGGAACTTACTTTTGATTTACTATGTCGTATGAGGGCCGAGAGCAGTCGGTTTGACTCTCCCATCACACCAGCATGATCTTTGGCTTCACACCACTCAACCAAACGCTCCACCAATTTAGCATTCTTTCCCAGTTGTTCAGCAGCTTCTGCTATAGAAAACAAGGCAAACAAAAACCAGACTAAATCACCGACAGGCAATCAGCTGACTGGAGAGCAGGTGCAGGACGGAAAATTATAGGTCTAAAAAACCCTAGCACAACCATTTTGTAAAAGCAAGGGCTACAAATGCTCCTTGCCTGATGGGCTATTTAGCTTATTCAGTATCATTACAGACTTTCACATAAACAGGTTAAGAACATTGCCTGCTCTTCCAAAGGTCCTGAGTTCAATCCCCAGCAACCATATGGTGGCTCACAACCATCTTTAATGAGGTCTGATGCCCTCTTCTGGCCTGCAGGCATACACACAGGCAGAATATTGTATACATAATAAATAAATATTAAAAAAAAAAAAAGTAACTTCACATTCCTGGTTAAGCCTAACAGTCAGTCAGTGCTCTGGCAGACTGTAACAAATGGGGTTCCAAAGGACTCTAAACAACCAAGACAAAGAAGGATTAAAAATTAGAAAACATATAAGAATAACAGACCTCACTCTTAGAAGAGGTGTTTATTATTTTCTTCAAATAGAAAAATACAAACTAATTAAAAATGTAGATCATCACTGTACTAAAACATGCTTTTCAAGACAGGTAAACACGGGTATGATATGTCTAAGGCAAAGTAGTAAGACATCAACAGACCAAAGACTTAATGAGGTATCAATAATAATATACAACATGATTGTTACTCAAAATCATTCAGTATAAGAATTAAACCTAAAATCAATCTCGTTTAAACTTTTGTTTCCTATTTACTTTTCAATTCCGTAATTCTGACAGCTAGAAACTTAGGTCCCTTTTAAGCATGTGCGCCAAGAATGTGGCATCTTACCTTGTGCATCTATCAACATTCTTAGCGTCCCCAGGAGTTTGAACTGGACCGGGGGCATTTCAGATTTAAGGAATTTCAAAACTGTCTCTGTGACCCCGGCTGATAACATCTTTGCTTTATTTACAACTAGAAGGAAAAAGAGACTGTGGTTAAGATGGTGATAACAGTCTCAATAGTGAGGTGGTTGGGCATGCTGGTGTCTGCCGGCAGTGAGGGCGCGACATGGCGAGGCAGGAGGCTCAGGAGGTCAAGGCCCTCAGACACTACGTGACAACACTGAGACCAGCCTGGGAGACCATCTACCCCAACACCTGCTGCCTAAGGGGGGGGTGGGGGAGGACAAAGAAACAGTAAGATTTGGTATATAGGTATCCTGCTTATGGGAACATAACAAACAAAAATCATACTAGTTTTTAAAACCTAATTTTAAAGCACTGAGTTAGAAAATGTGTAAAGAAAATCTGAAAATGTCACATCTTACAAAGTATTTTTCTTTATCACTGTACTAATATAAATGTGAGACAGTATTAAATATTATCAATATGGACCTTCATGTTACTTTACTATTTTTACTCTGTCAGAAATTTAATTTTAGGAAGTAAAAGAAAAGAATTAACCTTAAAAATGTCATTTTCTCTAAAAGTGTCATTCTATAGTTCAAAACTGTTAACACAAAGATTTACAAAAACTACAATATATCTGCCCATAGGATGAAAGAAAACAAAAAGGACCCAACTACCTGACAAAACTATTTTTTAGGGGACCCTGTTCACTGATGTCATGTCTTACTCCACCCGAAGATGCCTAAGAAAGCATAGACATGTGGTATAATAAAAAGCAAAGAGCTCATAAAAGTTGATCAGTTCATTTAGTTATCTCAAGAGACCAGCCGTGTATTGTCTCAGAAAACAGACGTAACATAGTTTCCATTCTCAGCTAGGAAAAGGTGAGCAATCAAGACTCTACCTAGTCCCTCCCTCACCCTTCTGAAATGGCCTGGCAGGCCTGGAACTAACTCACTGCTTCTTTGAGATTGGCCACTAATAACCATCGTGTCTCCCAAGTGCTGGGATTAGAGGCCTGTGCCCCAACAGCAGGCTCTCCCCCTCTCGCTGACAGGGAGGTCCACACACCACGTGGCTGCTGTATCTTACCTGGAATGGCTAGATTCCTGAGGGCACTTAGTGCTGCGTGCTGCACAGTCACGTTCCCATCTTCTACATGTCTGTCCAGCAAGTCCATGAGCTTTTCTACAATTCCGTTGTCTACCATATGAATACAGTTCCCATCTATACAGAACAAAGGCACAGTTTAAACTCTCCACCCATCGACATCAAAACCTAACGCTCTGCCAGTCTTAGATAACTAAAGAGTTCTAAAGAGAAGGGAGGAGAAAATAAGTCAGCCATGATAGTCTATAGGTCGAACTTCTGAAGCAAGACCTCAAAGTCTGAAATGTTCTAAAGTCGGAAAGTTTTGGAACAGATAGGAATCTGTAAGTAAAACTCTGTAACTGAATTGATGTGATCAGCCAACAATTAGGACAGACTAAAACTATCATCTAAAACTATTCTTACAATTTACACAAAGAGTAAAAGAACAGATAAATATCATGTTTAGGTTTGGGTCTTCTGACCAAGATATTGCCTAATAAATATCCCAAAATCTGAGAAAATCCAAACTCTCCAATGCTTCAGGTCTCAAGCATACTGGATTAAGGGACACTCAACCTGTGTTATATATGAAAAGCTCACAATGGAATAAAACTGAAGTAGAAAAACTCCACATTTTCTAAACATAAGAGTGCTTAGATTAACATCAAGGGTATCAGATTCACAAACTAAGAGGTCCAGTGCTGCTGAAATATTAAACTAAATACTGTACATCTATAGGATTATTCATATGTAAATTTCATGGGTTATAAGGGTATAACACAATAACCCAAGAAAGAATACTCAGATTATTAAAGCCCAAATTGTAGCATGAATAACAAAAACAGAGACAAAAATTGGGATTCAACCTGAAAACCAGAAAAGCAAGGCTTCTAAGACACTAGAGAAGTCTTACCTCCACCAAGGCTGGGCAACTATGGACTAAGCAGACTAAGGGTCTCTTTCCTCCATTTTATGCTTCCTCTAGTGCTGGGATTAAAGGCGTGTGACTCCCTAGGACTGGGATTAAAGGTGTGAGCTACCACCACCACCTGGATTTGTTTCTGTATTGATCTTGTGTAGCCCAGGGTAGTCCTGAACTCAGAGATCCATCGGCCTCTGTCTTAATTGTGGGATTAAAGGTGTGTCACTATTACCTGACCTCTAGTGGCTTTAGCTTTGCCTCTGGTCTTCAGGAAAGATTTATTATTAAAATACAAATAATATGCCACTATACAAAATAACATGACTGGGAAAGATACATATCCCCCCATCAGATATATATATATATATGCTCAAGTTTACTAAATCAGAAGTGCAAAATATTCAAATCCAATACATGATCACCGATCTTTCAATTTCAGAATGCAGATGACTATACGAAATGTGTCATTTGTTAGTAAAGTCGGTACAAACATTCCAGGCTTCTAAAAGATTAAGGAAACAATAAATATTTATGGACTTTCATGGGATCTGCAAGGTTACACAGTAGAACAGCTGACATTTAGAAGGTCAACACACCAGAGAGTTACATATCTGATGGAGGTTAAATTCACGAAGGCAGGGCCCGTGAAAATGAAGTGCACATTCTCTTGTGTGATAACATGCTCCCCTCCTAACTCAGCTTTGGGACTCTTAAGCACGTCACACACAATTTTCCTGTGTCCTAGTAGGATGACTTTCCCCCCAAACTGTGTATTCTGGCAAATAAAATAGTCAAACCCTTTGTCCCACACTTAATAAAAAAACCGCAGAAGCCTGTTCTCTCTAATTAACTCCCTGGCAGGATGAGTTGGCCAGACAGAAGTCCTTAGGGAGAGATCACAGGAGGGCTTTCACAGAGCAGAACTGCAGGTGTCTGGCCTTGCTAAATCTAAGTCCTTCAAAGATTTATGATGAATACGGAGGTATTGCAGGTGTCTGTCCCTTGTTATATCAGAATCTTTCAAGAGATCAATAGCACCTAACTGACTAACCATGTAAGAGAGATATTAATCGCACTAAAGAAATGTAAAATAATGCGTGTATTCTTTGACTTTTCTTTAGATCTCTCGATGGTTTAGTTTTCTCCCTTTGTAACCTGTAGTGGCCCCTTTAAGAGACAGTGGGAACCACCACACAGCGGCAGCTGTGGTTGGCTACAACTAGCTGATAAGTTTTGCTACATTTCTTCAAAGAATGCCTGCATCCCTGAGACTTTTCCTTGTAGTTTTTTATTACTAACAAGTTGTTAGTGAGTGGATACACACACACACACACACACACACACACACACACAGGCTTGAGGATTAGTAACAGCAGAAGAAATGAGATTGGGAAGAAATAAGATTGGAAGAGTAAAAATTCTGAAAGAAGATAGAATGCAGGAAAATGAAAAAGAAGAGAAAAGAATGTAGAGTAATTAAAACAAGAATGAATTAAAACAGATTGTAACAGAGAATATGAATTGGAATTAAAATCGAGACAGAATTAGAGCTAAGAAATCATAGACAATTGGACAAGAAAATTAGAATAAAAGCAGAACAATCAAGAGGCATGACTGGAGCTGCGAACATGGGAGTCTTTTCTCAGATTAGAGATGCCCTAAGATCCCTTTCGCTATGCTGAGCCCACCTGCCTGAACCCGGGGAGGAAATCAGCAGCACTCTGGGCTTTCGACAGGACTGTACACTTTTAGAATAAGAGATACTTAAAAATTCTAGAACACTTCACTATAAGGAATAACTAATATGCATACCATTCCTGGCAAAATTTGCGATTGCTAATGCCCCAGCAAGCTGCAGCTGGTGGTTATTCGACGGGATCCAGGAAAGGACCCTCTGGAACACACTGCCCTTCCCTCCTTCAAAAAGTTTCTGCATGGATTCATCTGGAGGGAAAGGAAACAAAGAGTTAAATAAGGTAAACATGACTAGGAGTAACAAACCCATGTACGTTCCAAGTGGATATCCACCTAGGAAACTAGACACCTCACAAAACATTAAGTTCATAATCGGAGAAATCTTGTAACAGGTTATTAGTAGAAATTAGATACTGAAAGTTATAAATTGTGTAGCTCCATTTCCAAGGACCACCCAGCTCTTAGTACTCTGGTGTCATTACTGTCTCTTCCATATGACAGGTCTTCAAACACTGGAAGACAGCCAAGACTTAACTTATTTCTTGAATTTATCTTTTGTTCTTTTCGCGGTGTGTATAAGGTTTCAAAACAACCACGGCAACAGTAAGCGAGATAAGAAAATAAGACGCCCAGTGCCGTGCTCACGAAAGGCACAATAGGTCTAAAAATATCTGGTGACCATGTTCTTAGATGGCAGACGTTAAAACTCACCTCCAAGCAGTAACAAAACCATCAGATCGGATGCGGTTTTAAGCTCAGCAATGTCGTCCTCTTTGTCACTATCCACCTTCTGCTGAACAATCTCTAGCAGACACTCTACCAACCCTGCTTCAACCAGCTGCAGCTTAATAGCATCTGAGGAGCAATGCAGACAGATCATAAGTTTTGATGACACAGGGCCTCCGGTGTACGTGACCTGTCACGGAGAATTTTAGCCAGTGCATTTTAAGTCAATGCACGACTTAGTTGTGATACAAAACAAAACACCTTTGAACACTTGGGTCTCAGGATGAAGTACTGGATGGTCCAGCTTGATTACACGAAACTTACTTCATTTTTCTATAAAATTATCGTCTCAAATGTCTTACAGTACCAAGCACACCACGCCTCTTGTAGCTCTGACAATAACCAATATCACTATTCATTTAGATACTATGATTATGTTAAAAGGCAATAGTATATTATACACACATGTCTATAATATACACATACATATTTGTTATGTGAAGTTAAAATATACCTATTACTGGTTTTGAATAAAAAGCTATCAAAATTATGGAACTATTAGAAAATCTGAACCTATAAACAAGTACACTTTGTTTGGTATTTGCACGAATGGAGTTTTTCTAGTGTGGTTTATAACTTGATGTTCAAGTTTTCATGAACGTGAACTGTTTTTTGGAACACAGGTACATGGTGGTTCCTTGCACTAAATTATATTTCCTAATATGTCTTATAGTTTCATTTTAAAAAACCTGTCTGTCATTTTATAGTGCTAATATCTTAGACTATTATAATAGGACTTTATGTTTGCAGCCATCTCTCTCTTCTCTTTGTAAAACATTTAAGTTTACATCTTGGTGTTCCAGTTGGAGTTTACTTGAGTCACTGGTTCCCATAGACAGTATGGGTGTCACATACAGCAATGGCAGTTCCAGTCTGTCACGTGGAAGGAGCTTAAAATACACATATACTTAATGTTTGTTCTTTTAGGTAATTGCAGCATGGAAATTTTAAACTTTTTAAATTATCACCAGGATTATTAATTTTTGTCTGACTATCTTTGAGCGCACAAAATACTTTTTTTTTTTTTTTAAATGCACCTGTACTGGGCCATACTTAAAGTAGGATGTTTCCTTGGTTACAGAACACTAGGACTACATACACATGTGCAGAAACTAGAGTTGAAAACTATTATAAAAATAAAGTCTTAGAAATGTTACAGCCTTGAGCCACACTGATACAAAGTGACAATTACTCTGCTCCTATAGCAAGAGAAAGAAATCATAAACAGGATGCAAATAATTGATACAGAAACAAGTTTTCAAAGGTCTGTCCATCTGCCCCCTGCACAGCAAGGCAACAGAAGGAAAACCCTGCCCTGCTGAACTCTGTAAGGAGGCACAGCGATTCTTTGGCAGAGGACTTGAAGACAAGGGTAACATTGTCATTCCAGAGAAGCGCCTAATGAGATGAAAAAGAAGCTTCTCTCTGAAGAAGGAGATTTGAGGCATTTAGCATGTGTGAAATGTGCAGGATGGAAGGTGACAGGTCTTTCTTGTAGTCTGACTGTAACCACAGATTTAATGATCTCAAAAGGCCTTAATGAAGAGCAGTCAGACATTCTGGCAAAGTAGACTTTCTAGCACGTTTATCAACCCCATTTTACACAAGGACGATCCTTACCACTTCTTTGTATGGTATGTGTGAATGTATAAGGTGGATCACATATGCATATATATTAAATTGTCTGTAACATTTCTAAGACTATATTTACGTCAAATAAATTAAGGCAGGTTGTTTGGGTTCATGTTTCAGTTGGCCACACTGGGGTAGGGTACCATCACCAGGGAGCTTTTGCACAGTTAGGGCCTCCTTAGTTAATCATCTTTGGAGACACACACACACACACACACACACACACACACACACACACACACACAGAGCTTTAATCCTAGGAGCTTCTCAACCCAGGTCAACCAATCTGGCAATCAAGATTCTTTATCATATAACCTTTATTTAAAAGCCAGAGAAAAGCCATACATGCAGAAAATACACACATAAACATAGCACTTGTGAAAAAGACAATTACTCAGACCAATAAACTGCCATCAATTTAAGAAGTCCCTTCATATATTTCTCATTCTGTGCACAAGGCCCTCCCTTTGTATCTCTCACGCCAATGCCCTGGGTGTTACGATAGATCACCTCCATACTTTATTATCTCACCAAAGAAATAACCATTCCTAAAAACGAGTTTAGTGTTGCCTTTGTTATTACTATTTATATGTGTGTGCTGGGGACTGAGCACAGGGCCTCATGCGTTCTAGGCTACTGAGCTATATTAGCCCTGACTTACTTTTCATTTAACTTTATATAACTGAAATATGTCTTTCTCAGTTTTTGCATTTTATTTTAAAATAAAAAAGGGATTACTTATTTTGTGTATGTGTGGCTAGGGGGACATGGGATGGAGAAGGGAATGAACGCCCACAGAGAGACAGAGGACAGCTTGCAGAAGTTGGTTCTCGACTTATGCTATGTGGCTTTGGGGACTGAACTAAGGTTTTCAGCCTTGGTATAAGGACTGCCTTCCCATATATTTTAAGATAAATTTTCGAGCTTTAAGTTTCAAATTGAAGCCAGTACCTTATCTGAAATCTTCTTTAAAAAAAAAAATATGGGGAACTGAGTGTAATGGTACATGTCTTTAATGGCAGCACTCGAAAGGCAGAGACAGGTGGATCTCTGTGAGTTCCAGGCCAGCCTGGTCTATATAATAAGTGCCAGGACATCCAGAGCTAAATATGAAAGCCTGTCAGAAAAAAAAAAAAAAGCAATGGCATTTCCCCTGTATTCGCAGTATTATTTAGCAAGAAGTCTTTCTTTTCCTTCTGTGGTACATTTTAAATTATGTGCATTTTTCCTTTCCTTTCAAAAGCCTTGTGAGACTCTGGTGGCCCTGGCTGCCTACATGAATGAGTTATCTTTTGTAATTTCAGGTCTTTTCTGCCAGCACTCTGCACCGTCCCTTCCCAAAATGTCTACTCTTTTTGGGGGCTAAAAACAACAACAAAGGAACATAAGTGAGCTTTCTTCCCTTTTGTGACACTCTCTCCTTCTCTTTAGACTCCATCCAGGATTTCTCTTCTACCTGTGCGTCCCTAATTCCACTGTATCTAACTTGCTGTAAAGCTGCCACCAAGTACTTAATTTTGGTTGGAAATTTCAACGTTATTTTAAAATCTTCTGTGTTTATTTTTACTATTTATAATTTTCATACTGATCTTTTTAAAGCTTGCTTTTCATCTCTGAACATAGTAAACGAACAGTTTCAGTCTTCTGTGTGTTTGCATATTTCTCTGAGTATGGATGTTCATGGCATACACGTAGAAGCCAACAGACAAACTCAAGTGTTGGTTGTCATCTTTTGCCTTGTTTCTGACAGTCTCTCATTAATTGCTGGGCATATCAGGCTACTGCCTCCCATTTTGCTCCGACAGTACTAGAGTTACAGATGAATGGGTTTATGTGGGTTCTAGGATTTGAACTTAGGTTCTCACACTTGTCCAGCAAGCAAAATCTGTCTAGTTCCCACTATCCCGGCTTTAAATCAATGGCTAATAATAGTAGTACCTGGAGGTTGGTGCTCTCTGTTTTGTTCTTATGTAGTGGGTTGCCTTGTTAGTGTCTGGCTCCTCTATATATGTAGAAGACATGATATTTGAAAAATCATTTGTACAATGGGTTTGTTTCTGGATTTGCTCCTATCTTTTTGGGTCCATCTCTTAAGATGTTTTTGCCCAAAGAAGGTGTGATTCACCAACATCCTCTCTATTGTTGACAGGCCTAGAAATCCTGGCTCTTATTCTCTTGAGTCTTTATAGGGTTCGAAGTGGAGTTCAGTCTCCTAAAACTGTGTCTGTGTGTGTCAATGCATGCGGAGGCCAGAGACAACACTGTGTGCTTTCCTACGTCATTCCCTATCCTGTTTTCTGAGACAAGATCGCTCACTGAACCTGAAGCTCCCTTGCCGGACAGGCTTGCCTGCCTGGCCATCACCATCCAGGGATCTCCCCATTCCCATCTCTCCCCACGACCACACTTGACTTTTACATGGGTTCCGGGACCCGATGCTTGAGTAGCAAAGACCCTAACCATTGAGCCATCTCCTTGGCCCTCATCTATCTTCTACGTTAGAGCAGAACTAACTGCGGAGGCCTCTGCTAAGACTTTAACATCAAACTTGGAAAGCAGCCTCTCTAAACTCAAATACAGTCATGGAATAGATAATAAAGCTGAAGTTAGAGGTACGAAAATAAAATATAACAGCATGACTAGCCCCAAGATGAGCTCTCAGTTAAGATCCGGCATTAAAGAACCCGAGAAGCCCTTACATGATCAAACATCAAAAGGTGGTTTTTCCTTACCGTTTTCTGCCAGGGGAGCTAGAACTTCAAAAATCATTTCTCTTTTATCATGTTCTATTTGTTTCTTGAAAAGTTTTACCAGCTCTTCAGCAATGTTTGTACTAGCAAACTGCTCTTTACTTGACTCTGAAAAATAAGAGAAAAATTTAGAGTAAGCAAACAAAATTAAACCCAGAAATTTGTTTCCTGTTACTGTTAACACTCGAGCACTTTGTTCTATTAATGAACACAAATGCTCTCAGACACAGGAAACAATCAAACTGATTTCTAATGCCCCTGAAAAAGAAAGTGTCTAAAGCTTCAGAGAGAATGTTCTGACCCAGTTACATTTGGGGTCATAACAAATGTTCACTGGCGTAATATATAGGTAGCTATAGCAACGGTAAAATTACTGAGTTATAAATTCATCCTTTCAAGGCTTTCACGCAAAGAAGAAAATGGTTCATAACAAATTGTATTTTACATTGCTGAATAAACGATGACATCATTGTATCTTGAGTATAACTTAATTGAAATGTTTTTGTGCTGGTTCTGACATGACTGCTGTATTTTTGTTATTAGTTTTTGAGGTGTTAGAGTACCTACACAAAGCCTTCGATTTAATCTCTATCAGTGAGACACAAGCTCGCAGATACTATTTAAAAGCCAGTTCATCCGTGTTCTTGAAGTCTCATCGCCTGTCCTCTTCAGCAGGTCTCAGCTCTCCCTCTCTCGGAATTCACTCTCAGCCAGCACGGGAATGCCTCCATTTCTCACACACAGCAGCCCTCTCTTCAACAGCCATTCAATTTCATTTTTATAAACAAGTTTCTTAAACACATCTTCTATTTACACTGCCTCCACTCTTTTGAGTTACACACACCAGATGCATCCGTAAATGCTTATTACTTTCACCTATGTGTGAGCATGCTTTCAGTAACTCCTTCTTTCCCCTCTCCTCAAAGAGTAAAACAGAGTCTATGCAGAAATGTCCTTCTGCTTAACTTCTCAGCCCTGCAAATGCACAACACCGGCGAGGGCAGGATGGCCGCTTAACTTCCTTCCCACGAAGTCATATAGCTCTGCACGTTTTTCAAGCTGAAGCATTTACAAGATGTAGAAATACAACCATGAAAGGATTGAAACTGGTCCTATGTGTGCTTGTACACTCCCGCCTATCAAGGATGGCCGTCCTTTCCTTCCCTGGAACTCACTGTCCTTTAAGGTCAGGTGACGCGAAGCTCACCAGCCTCTGCTTTCTTTACTCCACCCTTAAGCTTTCCAAGGAAGAGGACGTCACAGGTGAAGGACACCTGTGGTAGAACTTGTTCTCTAGAGCTCGCCACTGTCCTATGCAAACAGGTAATGCTCATCTTTGTATTTTATTTTACCCGTCAGCTTCAAATTATTATCTATCTGCCACAAAATGAATGTAAAATCTTGGCAAAGCATCTAATTTTTCATGCTGCCACTAAAGCCCATTATGTATTTTACAGTTCAGCGCATTCTAAGTTCAGACTCGCCATATTTCCATGTTCGACAACCACATGTGGGTGGTGGCTACTCTGTGCAGGGTGGTCCTATGAGTGTGGAGTAAAGCATGGAACTGACGGCAAGTGACAAGATATCTGAACCACTGTTTATGTTTTCATACAAAAGATGACATCAGTCTGAGATTCTAAAGTGACTTCAACTACACCGGACAAAAACTCCTACGACCTACTTAGTTTAAAGGAAACTAACATTTCTGAACACTGGCTGAACCTTCTTCCCTTTTTAGTCTCACTTGAAAACCTGTATGTTAATCAATTTAGCATGAAAAAGCAAAGTAAAGGAGAGAGGCACACTAGGACATGACCCACTATGGAATAATGACTTCTGAGCTAGGTGTGGCACACACCTTTAACCCTGCACTTAGGGGAGAGGCAAGTGGACCTCTTACGAATGAGTCCAGACTGGACTAAGTAGTGAGTTCTAGGTCAGCCAAGCTACAACGTTAGACCCAGTCTGAGAAAAGAAAAAGACTTTAAAAAGTATTTCCAGGGCAGGTAAGATAGCCCAGTAGGTAAAAACATTCGCCACATAAACCTGATGAGCTGTGTTTGAAACCTAAAACCCACAGTGGAGAAGAAAGACTTGCCGAAGTTGCCATCAGCTCTCCAGTCAGACAGACACATACACCCCACTATTACTTTAAGCTTTGAGTCAACTGAAGTACTAAAAATTATAGTGTGCAAAGGGTACAAACTTTTAGAAAGATCAATAATAAAGTACTGGTGCCTTATATTTCATTATAAAATGGAAGATTAATAAATATATTTATGCTTTAACTATTATATTACCTAGGACAAAATGCCAGTGGTTGTCCTATGAATATAATAAATGATTATAAACATTGCTGTGGGGATGTTTGGGGATGAAAGGGGAAGCAAGGGATAGAGAAGGAAATAATACAGGAAGTAGAGAAAAAACAAAAACAGAAGGAGATGAAGGGGTGAGGCCATTGGTCTTTTTGTTATGACAAAGAAGTGTCTACAGCATTGGCTTTGTTCTGCCTGTTTTCATATTTTCAAAGGTTTCTCGAATTTTGCCCTAGAACACTCTTACAAACACATAGAACACACAGATGGCTCAGCAGGTAAAGGCATGAGGCCAATCCTGGCAACCTGAGTTCAATCCCAGGGATCCACATGATACAAAGACCAAAGCAGCTCTTGCAAGTGACCCTCTGACCTCTACACTCACACTGTGGTGCGTGTACATGCACTTACATACTCTCTAAATGTAATATAAATATATAAGTATATTTATATGAAAAACCCATCACTTTTAGGGATTCTGTAAGAAGATAATCACTTTAGTTTGCTAATGCTTTTAAGGTTATATAATCAAATAAGTTTATATTAAAAAAGGAATTATTGTGTATGTGCTGGTGTGAGTAAAACCATAGGCCTCTTCTAGGTTTTACAAGCACACTACTTTTGGGCTATATACTCAAGGCGCCTAAAATTTAAATCCTAATATATAAAATAATCAGAGAAGCAAAATAGTAGCAACTGTAAACAAATTAATAAAAAATAGAATTTGATACATTTTTTTTAACTGAGGAAAATACCTTTAATACTTAAAAGAAAAACTGAAATCATTTACATGTTCATAAAGAAGTAGTCACTGTAAGAGCATTAATGAGTTAATGACACTTGTGGCTTGTGATGTAGACTTACCAAGTTCTGCTAAATTCCCGAATGCAACAAGACACATTTCTGTAAGAGCAGCATTGTGGCAGTGGATGCCCAGTAATTTCACTAAGGTTGGGATAACACCCATATTGATTAGCTGAGCTTGAAGGGAATCTGTTAAAACAGAAAGAGAAAAAAACGGAAGAAGTGTTTATAGTATCAGATATAATCAAACAGAAAACATCTGTTACTTTCTGTAACTCGGTTCTCTTTGAATTATAGCAAAGGCAAATGAAGTCCAATTGCTTCGTTTTGGTTGTGAGCCTAGACTTTATTGGCTGAACCATCTCTCCAGCACAAGTACACTCATTTGACTGGCTTGAATATTTTAATCACATTAGTTCAGAAGAGCTGAGATCTTTTAATCTTTTCAATAATTATCAGAAATTTAAAGATAATTTAAAAAAATGTATCAAACCATTATTCTTTTTCTTCTAAATGGGGGCTTCATATACCTTTAATATGTTTAATGATGAACCTTTTAAGATATATAAACAATTAAACACACCATTGGTTTTCAATGTTAGAAACATCAGTTGAGTATCAGCAACTCATAGGATATATGGAAAGGCTAAGAGAAACAGGAAGCTTAGAGACCAAGAAAGAAGAGAAAAATCTTAGAATTTTAAAAATGCAGTTGCTTCATAATCAGGAAAAAAAACATCAAAAGTATGTCACAGAAAAGCAACTGGTTCTGAGCATTTGCAAGCAGAGTGTTCTGTGATGATTGCTAGGAAGCATTGTGGTTTTAACAAGAGAGGAAGAGTTCCCTAAAGTAGCTTTTTATCAGTTCTACTTAACTAAGGTTATCTCAGTAGGACAGATGACTTCATGACATCAACAGTGTCATGTTTACTTCCATTTTCTAAGTAACTAAATAGCTTTAAGGTGCTAAACATGCCTTGTGTCCCCCCAATGTTTCTTCACAGATAGCGCTAATAAGTCCTGTATCAAGGTGAAGGTAAACTAACCCAAATGAAAACCAGAAGTAGTATCTCTTAGAATAAGCTAAGAAGAATGACAAACATTCAGGCATTTACACAAAACACTGCTACCAATAATGGGTTCATCTGAAGACAGGAATGCTCTTTCCAAGATGGGTTTTATTTTTATTTTTTTGGTTTGCTTTTCTACTTTAAAATGATATACTATTTAAAAGCTAATTATTCTCTCCAAATTCTTTAAAGTCATCTATCTGGGATGTAAAGGTAAAGTTGTTTCCTACAAAATACATTTTCTTCACAGCACCAATCCCTTCTTTATTGCTCTTCACCATTTTTAACCTGTAGATAAGGATGTGAGCGGGTGGCTAGGGGAGAGTACACAAATGAAGGGCTGAGCTGCCGCAAAGGTCAGGTCATTACTTGCCTGGTGGTCTTCGTTGCTACTTCCTCGTGGCTTTTAGAATAAATTATGAAGAGATGGTCAAAGACTAATAGTTTCCCCTGAAAACTAAATATGTAATTATGGCTAATTATCTAGTTTGATTATTGGGGCCTGTCTGTACTAGAAAGGGGCCTATTATCAAAACGAGACTAGAAGATAAACTTGAGAAAAAGGCAGGGCTACATTTACAGTTCAAACAACTCAATAATACATTTCAAAATTAGCAGTGGAATTATGAAGCTTATTCTAAATGAAGGAAAAGTCTATTCAATGAAATAATTTGCTTTTGTACTTTTAATGCAAAAACTTTCCTGAATATACAATGAAGCATTTAAAGGAATGATTCTCAAGGTTTTACAGGCAAAACACTTAGGTTATACAATGCAGTGCACTATGGTCTATGGGCTGAATTCTTCCACTGTAAGTGTACTATGTACGATGATCATGCACCCCAAACCTCTCCGAGCTAGACATGACTCTGGTTACTTACCAGGAGCGTTCTGCACGGTAGATGGAGCCAGCATATCTCTGCTCTTTAGCAGTAAGAGCTACTCATTTTGACTATCTCGTCACATACTGCCGAACTGCTGAGTTCTAAATCTCAGGTACGTAAGCGTGAGCACTAGCGCATGCATTGAGTGAGTCAAACTCTGCTGTGTGTGTGTGCTTAAGGAGCATCACACACCCCCTCAGTACTGTCTGTAAGAGCTCTACAAATACCCAACAGTGCAGGGACATCGGAGGAACATTCTACGAGGAAGGCGACTGAACAGGGTGATGCTGCTAATAAGATGAGGCTCTTCACATTCTAGCGTGGCACCACTATCATGTCCTTGGACTACTTAAAACATGTCATAAATTTAGGTTTCAGGGTACAAGAAATGCAGTAGAGCTTAGCGAAGTCTCTGAGATGCAAATGCACTAGTAACATGGGAATTATAGCGGATCATCAGGAAGAGTAGCAGAGCCAAATAGCCAATTGTGTCAATCACCTCGATTTGTGAGAACAGCTTCTTTCTGAAAGCATGTTTAAAAACTACTCAGGAGCCAAATTAATTATACACTCACATATAACACACACACACACCACACAAGAGAAAATGTACAGTCATCCAATTGGACAGACTCATTTTGGACCAAATGGGTGCGTTCTTTTATATTTATTTTTCTGATGCTAACTGAAAGTAATCATCATACTGAACTCTAAACTTTGTTCACGATGCATGTAAAATTTCCTTGGATATTGAAGACCCAGAGGAGAGAAAAAAAAAATGAACTTAGATAAGCAGGCACAAACTTTCACTTTATGGAGAGAGGCATTCTAGAATAGTGTTCTCTAACTGTTGAAACCCTTCCAGAAAAACTACCAGAGGAAAACCTGTTTTATAAAATACTAGGATTTTCCTTGTTTTCAATATGTTGACATGTGTGGCGATCATGTATGAAGAATGGTTAGTTTAAACACGGGTGCTCTGGCTGTACCCAGGCAGTGACATCAAGAGGTAACTACTGTATTCCTTATGGTAACAATAGTCACAGTAAAAAAAATGCCATTTTTCTCAGCAACTTTACTTTTGAAAACACTTTGCACAGATTGCTCATGTTAACATATAATGAGCTATCACCTTAAAATATTATAGGAAACACTTAAAATTTTAATTTCTATCTCTATAAGCATTGCGAGTAATATCTTTTATCTTTTTACGTGTCTGAAAGGGCTCAGAGGTCAAATGTTTGAGTCACTAGCTACCCAATTTTTATAAAAGTTGGGAGTGTGGGGGAAAATATCATGGAAAAATATTCTGAATTTTAATGGAGTACTTGGCAGATGTAATAAGTATGGCGGGGGGGGCAGCAACAACAGAAAGCATGCTGTAACTTAGGCTTTGGTTTCAGATATTTTTGAAAGAAATTACTTTAATAAGGCACCTTAATGTCTCATCTTTTTTTATCTCAACAGGCTCTACTTGGGCCTAGAGTAGACTATTCCAGATCTAGTTTATTTCAGCTGTAACTATGTGTCTAACACTTGGGAAGCCTTCAGTGAGGTGGGGTTCTTATTTGTGAAGGGGGTATTCTTAGTCATGGAAGCAAATTAGTACATAACTGAAATTTTTTAATTGTCCAAAGAAAGCTTATGTTGAATGTTCTCCAACAGACAACAGCTGACATTCATGCTATTGTGAATCTGACCAGAAGTGAAACTTTTACAACTAAAGACCAGCAGGAAGGAACTCACAGAACCACAAAGAATTCATGTTTTCTGGATACACCAAAGAGCACATGGACGAGAGCAAGACTGACATTTGTATGCCTAAACAAACACCAGCAACTCTAAGTGAATCTGTATCAGAGCCTCTACAAACACGGAAACTCACGCAATGCAGTCCAGGCCCAGACACAGCAAACACACACGTGTGAGACAGTCGTTAGACAACATGTCTTGACACACGTCACAGACAAGTGCTGACCAAAGTACAGATTTACAAGTCTACATCGTATCAAGATGACACAGGCCCTACATGACCTATGGGGAGGAAGAGAGAGAGAGGCACTGAGGGGGTGCAATACAGATGCATATACAAAGAGATAGAAGGCAATCAACGCATGCGCTGGTGTGAACACTTACCTACCTACATTTGAATCTCAATGGTTCCAAGTTCTTCAGGTCACATTCATGGAAACTCCAAAGAATGGAGATCTGGAGAGAAGATCTCAAGTTGAGGAACCTTTTTCCCCCTGAGTTTTAAGTTTAATGTTTAAAACATTGGTATAGACTATAGGTGCACAAAAGTATGTGGAAATGCCAATAACTCAGTTATAATAATCAATTACTAAAAATAAGTTCTTTAAGTTTTTTTTTTAACATGTTTAGCTTATTCCTAAGGTTTCTATAGCAATGCTAAAAGATTATTAGCCCTATTGGTAAGACTTAAAGATGAAACTTTAAAGGAAAGGTCCTTCTAAAAATACAGCCTATACATCAATATGGATACATGGTGTTTCTATTAGTCACAGAACAAAGGCAGGATATTGCTACACAGAGGCTTGCATTAAAACCCCAAGCTAAAGCAAATGAGTACTGCACAGCTGGTACAGGGAGCACTGCACAGCTGGTTACAGGGGAGCACTGCACAGCTGGTTACAGGGGAGCACTGCACAGCTGGTACAGGGGAAACCAGAAGGCAGAGGTCTTGCTGAACTGCTCTATTACAAACTGGTTAAAAAAACCATCGGAACCTAATAGCCTGACAAAACCCACCTGTGACTTAATGAAACACCTGCATTCCCCAAACCAGGATATGAATATTAAAAATTAGAAATGATTTTGGTAAGGTAGCATTCTAAGACTCGAGGCGGGTTTTAGCGCATTACTGCTGAGATGAAAGCTGATGTAAACACAGTTACAAAGAGGCGGGCAGTGTTAACTGGCTGCACAAATACCTGTGCAAGTAAAGACTTCCCTCCACTCTAAGAACAGTGCCCTGCTGCTGATTCCCGGCAGCACACACCAGTTTATCCTAAACCCAGTGCTGAGGGGATAAAGCCACAACTAAATATTCTAAAATAAACCCCAAATCCAGTACTTTAAGAGGTTTAAAAATCAAAACATGCACATGTGTTTCATATCCAGAGTGTCTCATTAGTTCCCAGGTTATATCTTTCAATGACACAGTCATTTCAAAAAGAAAATAAAAAGCAAATCAAGATGTGTTAAGTCTTGAGAA